AAGCGACGCGTCATAGACGAAGTTCGCGACGAAAGCATGACGCCGACGTTTTGTAAACGGACGTCTATTGTTACACAACTGTCGATCGCAAACAATCGTACAATCGACAGCAAATCTGGCTTCCCCTGGGAAATTATGGCAACAAAGGGAAATGATTCGATTATTAGGGATATTTGAGAATCTCTAAAGTGATTTGCTCTTCCCTTTCAAACTTATTTTCCTGTTTTTTAATATGCATGCTTACTTTGTTTTTTTACCGCTCTTTATACTTTTAATTTTATGTGCGTCGCGGTTGGGTTTGATACACATTTCAGAAGATTCATGTACAATTCTGTATCACATGTAGAATACACAATATATTTATCAAACTATAATTGTATTTTGAAATTTACTGCCAGTTGAAAATGTAATACGTGTGCATATGTAACGTTTAGACGTCTACTGTGTTATAGATTTTCAGCATCAGCGATGAGTTTTAGCTCACGGCGCATGCAAAACATTTTTAAATTAACCTAACCTTAAATTACAGATCTTGCTGACAGCTAATATTAAAATTTAAAAATAGAAGACAATAATGGCAATATTGAAAATGTAATAAATGAATCTTTAAAGCTTCTCAAAACACTCAAGTTCTATGATTTGAATTCAAGTTTAATTAATTATATTTTAAAGTATGCATATCTTTTATACTCACTCTATATATTATATGTTATAATGTAAGAGTTCAGTATGGTATACTAAACGCTCAAACACATGATTAAACTGAAATTTAAGTGTGAAAAGCAATACATGGAAACAAAATTTTCAATCTTAAATATTTTCAATTTTCCATAGATCCAGTGCAATCAAAGATAATATTAATAGGTAATCAAAATTCACAACAGCATTATCGACTATCATATCATGACCCACGATAAAGTGGACTTGTGATTCCAATTCAGATCTCCCTAGTCCTGGTATTCCCTTTACAATCCCCAATCAATCCCCTGGAGGGAAAAGCTGCGTGCAGTAATCAGACGAACAATGCCAGGAAAATTATAACGGTCCATTAGAGTCCGCATCCATTAGAACCAGCGTAAGACAACAGGAACAATGAATTCCGTGTAACAATGAATGTAGATTCGATACAGAAGCTGGATGTAAACTACGAAAGCCGATATCGGTTGGATTTCACTATTTCGAATTGCATCACATTGTGTCGAAGTCCATTTTTAAATATCTTCTCGCAATACACATTATTTATATTTTATCGTTATTGTAACTATGCAATCACTACGTTTATTTTATCGTTATTACATGTAAATCTGTAATTATTATTGCATGTATTCATTACTATATGCGTTTAAGTATCAATATTTCAGATTTAACCTTTCTATTCGCACGTGCTTCAATCAGATTTTTTCGTACTGCCACCTGCTCACGAACGAAAAACCAGAAACCGACACACGGCACGAAGAACCGACTTTGCCATGAATGTTCTAATATCTATTTCTAATAAAATGTAATTTGTATTTTATTTGGATTTAAAGAGAAACGTAGTATGAGAATTTCAAAGCTTTTACGGCATACTTTAAAATTGGGATAATCAACAAGACCTTATTCAGTAATAACTTATAATAAAGATAAGTGTCTTTTAACTCGAATTTTATTTTAAAAATACGGTACAGACAAACTGAGTAAATATAGTGAATGATGGAGTATTGAAACACCTTCAGCCAGTTCAATCACACTTGTTTTAAATCGCTGTCGTTCAAAGTGTAGTTTTTCAATCAGCAATGTTCTACTGGCTCTAATATACTCGCTATGTAAGAAAATCGACAGTAAGCAACTGAAATTTTTATCGCACTGCCAAAATATTTCTTGCCACTTTTTCGTAAATATTGTATTCGTTGCCAAACATGCTTATGTTCATAGGAGAAGACTGGCGTCGGAACGTGTGTGGACTATACGTTTACAGAACGCTTTAATATTTACATGTCATCCTTTGCACGTCAGTATTAAAACTCCAACCAATTTCATGAAACGATAAAAGAATTGTCGATTCTACGAAAGTACTGCAGTAGGATAAGCTTTTAATATTTGATATTCTTTCATAGGGGCCAAAGCGCAACCTATTCGCGACATCGTCATTCAAATATGCATCGCTCCGGGCGTATGTAGCTACATATTATACACTGCATGGCAGAATAGCCTACCCTAGGAAAGAGGCGATGTAAGAGAAGAAGGCCACCCCACTCGCCTTAATACTAGAGACTTACTATGTATTATGTCTATGTTTTCTCTGAACATTTTGACATATATATAGGGCATCATGGTTTGAATATCTAGGACTTCTTATGTTTGTCCGTAGCTCGTTACACTTTGCGGCGTGTACTATGTAGAATTTACGCTTCAACTTCGGAATAATAATATGAATGCTTCATAATGTATTTATCTGGTTGCTCAGAATATACATATGTGAATATGTATGTAATGTAATTTTTCACGTATCATATATATTTCTAAGAGACTCACAGGTAAATTATAATGGCCAAAACTAATATAAGTACAAAATATTTTACGAAGTTTTGTGTGGTGAACATTATGTTGTGCAAAGTCAGTTTATGAGAATATTTCTCACTTTCAAACTTTAAACACACTTTTAAATAGAAAGTTTGCCTTGAACTAATATTTTCATCGTTTCAAGTAAATTGTTTTATGGTTTTATTGCATTAGAAAGAGTTTGTTTTTATTCGCCATTGAAAATCGCACTTTAATTTTGAAGGATGTTCGCGACATCTACCGTGACGAACAAAAGAATCGAGTTAGAAGACGATCGGTTTTGTAACAACGCAGGAAATGTGTAATTGCATATTCATGTTGTGTAAAAATCTAAGTTAGTGATTAAATGTATTATTATTTAGTATGCAATGTGATTCTTATTAATATACTGAACCGTATGTTCGAAATTACCGTTTAACAAATTTTAGACAGCATATAGAACTATAGAGTGTGTTATCGTTCTACGATATTATCACAAATTAAGAAAAAAGAACATGATCTGCAGACTAAAATTTCCTCTTACATTTTTGTCATATTATAGTTTTTCATTTTTACAGCTTAAGGTAAAGGTACCAGTAGTTGGCACTTTAAGGAATTTTTTGTCTATTTGTTCAGATAGCTCAGGCTAAATTTACTTTATGGAAAATTTATGATTGGCAGTCGCTGCACAAACTATTCTTCCATTATATGTATTACAACAAGTATTCATTCCTGATGGCGGTTGTAAATTTTTTTCTTTTTTTCTTCTAAATGTAAAATTTGATTCAATAGTTGACACCCAGCGAAAACAGAGAATTTAGTAGTTGACATCCTTTTGTTTCAGTAGTTAACATAGGGAAAAAATCCAATTAATCTAGTCTTGATAATGTGTGAATACAGATTTTTTTTGAACATTTAAAAAAGATTATTCTTGAGTAAGTTTACAAAAAAATATTTAATAATTAAGGGTTAATATGAAGAATTAATAATAAATATTTAATATGAAGAGTTCGAACACTCCTCATACCGGAGGTATCCTCATATCAGTTTTTTATTGCATTTTCTTCTGCATCAGTCAATACTCTGGCTGGGCTCATTTTTCTTTTATTGGATGTTTGCCTTCAACCTTGTATTTCAAAGTTGACCTTGGAACACTAAATTTCCTAGCTGCCGTTTTATACGGAGTTTTATGGACCGGACATCTTCCACAGCCACTTGCGTAATCTCTTCTGTATAATTTTTAAAGTTAGCCTTCGTAGGAGGCATGTCAAAATTGACAGAGGAACAAAGTCAGTAGTTGACACATAGTAATTTAATAGTTGACACCCCATGTCAACTACTGAATAATAGACCATTACAAGTTTCAGTAGTTGAAACGGAGTGTATTTAGACAATTTAGCATTGTTTGTTGCAAATTTTAATAAATAAACCTCTTTTTAAGTTTCAAACAACATAAACGAATGCCTTTTTTACCCATAGTGATTAAATAATACAAACTTGCAATGCTTACATTTTAACAAAATCCTTAGCGATTTATACAAAAAAAACACTGAAAAATCGTAAGAGCCGTGGGCAAGTTTGATTAATCAGTTGCTATTACATTTTTGAATGGCGGATATGCATAATATTTCGCAATTAAGCCACTGAAGCATGAAAACCCAACAGTTTCAGTAATTGAAAGGGAGTGTATTTAGACAATTTAGCATCGTTTGCTGCCAATTTTAATACATAAATCTCTTTTCAAGTTTCAAACAAGATAAACGAATGCCTTTTTTACTCAAAATGATTAAATAATACAAACTTGCAATGCTTACATTTTAACAAAATCCTTAGCGATTTATATAAGAAAACACGGAAAAATCGTAAGAGCCGTGCGCAAGTTTGATTAATCAGTTGCTATTACATTTTTGAATGACGGATATGCGCAGTAGTTCGCAATTAAGCCACTGAAGCGTGACAGTATTATTTATTTACTGTTTTTGAAAAAGTGTCAAGTACTGGCACAGTGTCAGCTACTGGTGCTCTTACTTTAATTATATAGTTTGAAATATGATTTACGATTCTTAGCTGCAATGAAGCTGACATTAAAATTTTTTAAAACACTAGGTGTAGTCTACAGATGAATGTATAGCCGCAAAAAATTATTACTTTGAGTTTTCCCATTATTTACAGCGAACTTTGATATCACTATCACAAGTCGGCAACTTCAAGAAAAGGTACGTTTTCGACATCACGGACGTCGGTCCAAAAATGAACTATGTTACATTGTTCTTTGGGTCTATCTTACACTGTCTTTTTTTCAGCGCAAAGCTAGCGAATAAAAATGCACATGCGTCTCAGTTGGTCCGTGACTTTCAACAACAGCTTTAGAAACTGCAACTTTGCTATGGAGTCACGAGCAATGCGGTTAAATGCTCGCATTTGTATGCAAGCGTACCTGCCTTGGAGGACGATTCGTGAGGTGAAAAGCAGTGAGCTACCTTTGCTGGCAACTTGTTTCGCGAAACATAGCAAACGGGTGAATTTTAATTCTTTGACTCGTATCAGTTTGTTGTAACTCTTGAACGATCTTCGATGTACCATTGCACGTGGGTTCCTCACCTGCAACACAGAAATAATACCGTGGTTATTGTAGCACTTCCTTTGATTTCGAATTTTTAGTAGTATAAAGATTTTCCTTTGTGTCATAATACGCACATCATTATCGTAGTAATACGCGTAAATATACAGGGTGTTCTAACACGACTCAATTTTTCGCCCACTTCGTCTGATGAAAGAAATTTAGTACAAGAATTTCTTGCACAGGAAGCATCGCAAAATTACAAATATTATAAAAAAGTTTACCGCCAACTAGCATGAACAAAATGTTCAGTAAGTAAATTTTGCTTCTACAAGAATTGTGCATGATAAAAGGTAATTATAGTCCGGAGTAATAAGTTTTACAATAAGAAGTTAAATAATATTTCCTTTATAATAATGTTGCATCTCCATCTTTCGTGACTAAACATTAATAAGAAATAATTCAACCGAGAACAAAGCATGCAACAAGTCAAGCTTTGAATCAAACCGTATTCCACTGAAAAGTAAAATTGCAGGATCTCTCGCGGAAAATTGTAAAGCAAACAAAAGTACAACCGTGACAAAAAGTTGAAAATTACCAATAAGCGTATAATAATGCGATCGCGACATGCGGTATTTAGAAAGGTGTAGTTAAAAGAGCTCCGATAAAACGTCATCCTTTCAAAAGATATGCTTCTCTCCGAGGGCGAAATGAGAAAGGTGTGCTCGAAAATAAAGGAGAGAGCTCTGATTTAAAATGCGCATTGAACGAAACACGTGTGCGTGTGATAAGAACAGGTTACGTGTGCAAGAATAATTGCACAGTCTGCAACAAACTGTACCGATACCGTTGCCTTCTTTGTAAAGATAAAACTGTGTAGTACAGCAACCTGGTTGATGCATTATGGCGCGATGAACTTTTAAAAAACAAAAGGGAAGCTTATTTCTATCGAGAACTGATAAACGTGGTCGACTTTGGTCCGGAACATAATTGGGAAAAAGCGATTGATTAGAAAAAGAGAAGGAGGAATTTTGTTGGAAACGTAGAATGAACCTGGCGAATTTACATTTTGTTCGTGAATTAGAAAATTATTTTTTGGAAACTGGGTATTTCATCAACTCGTTTGTAGAATGTTTAAGTCACTATTTTTTTAAATGTTTGATCATTCTGGTGGAATACTGGAATTTTGAATGTGCAGATTACGGAAACGATCGCAAAAGCAACTTCACTGTTTTATTTAATTTCGTTTATATTCAGAGATAAATGTATGTAATTACTTGCACGTGAGTGTATTTCAAAATGTGTTTATCTTATTGTTATATGTTCTACAAATTGATGATCTCACAATTTTACATAATTGACAAATAAATGATCTTATGATTTTACATAATCGACAAATAAATGATCCGAAATGAATTGTAAGTATTGTTAACTTTACGTTAAATGGATATTTGTGCATGAATTCAATTGTTAAATTAATATGTTCGGTAATAGCATCATAAAAATATAAAAAGTGGTAGAAAGAAATAAAGAGTTTCAGGAATTAATGTTAATATTATGTTAATAATGCGGAATGTTACACTGAAAGCTTGAACAAGGAAAAGCAAAAATTCAGTTTTAATGTGAATCATATGATAATGTACTATAATCATATGATAATGTATTACAAACAGGTATTTTTCATCTTAACAGGTAACGTGATAACCCATTTACAATCATCAACTTCACTTGGAATTATTCATTTCGGAATTCATTTGGATTGTTGTGTACGTATAATGTTACAAACTTTTTTGTTATTTCCTGTGTTATTTAACATTTCTGATGGTATTCGAAGTTTTGAAAATTTAAGGATGAAAAAATATTACGCTAAATGTACATTTTCAAGTTTTCTTTTTAATATCATTTGCATATTTACGCAATAATAAATGTTTATTTTGTTTCAAATTTTCAAGTTTAGAACTTAAAATGTTTTAAATTGTCAAATTTATAAATTCTTAAATTCTTGAATTCTTCTACTTTCAAATATTTAAATTCTTAAATTATTAAATATTAACATTTTCAAAGTCGCAAGTTCTAAAATTGTCAAATACTCAAATTCCAAATTCTCAAATTCTCAAATTCTCTAATACTCAAATTCTCAATTTCTCAAATTTGCAAATTTTCATATTCACAAATTAAGAAACTAATAAGTTAATGAGTTTATAAATTTTTTTGAGTTTACTTTGTCACCGGTTCACAGATTTACAGATTTATAAATTTACAAATTTATTACAATGTTCCATAGTTAATTTAATTTCAAATTCTAAAATATTTTACTGTATAGATAAATGGCCTTACAAAAAGTAATAGCATGAAAATGATAACACGTCTATTCGGAAATAAAAACAGTCTCATGTATCTTTCACAGTCATTTTAACGTTTATCGTAATACAAAAGTTTACATATTTCTCTCATGAAAACACACTCACATTCATTAGCGTTTAATAATTTTATTATATTAGTGTAAACACGAACCGTTAGACACATTGAAATAGGAATAAATAGAGTAAATGCCTTTTATACTATTATATTACTCAAAAAATATGATCACTGAATATCCATAGCAACTACTGAATTGAACCAATTTCAAAATTGCAGCATCACGACACTAATATTACCAAAAAGAAAATAACTGTTTGTGCACCAGGAAATTTGAAATATGTAACAAAGTGCACTGTGTAAAAAGTACTTGTAATTATAATTAAAAATTGTGAAAAGGAAAAATACAAATAAGTCAGCGTGAATTACTATTTATTATTTGTACGAGAATTCTGAATTCCTGTGCACGTGTAAATTTACAATACAACGATTTTCTAAGATATACAAGCTCAAACAATAACATAAGAGAAAAATCATGGTTGATACAAAGCGATTTAGTATCCAATTAACCACAGCGTACGATCCATTATGACAGTTACAGTTCCATGGGCGGAAACGTGTGGATCTATTTGAACACGATCTCGAGAATTCCTGAATTTCCGGCATACTGGGGATTGTGGCTGGCTGTTGGCCTCCTAGGAAAGCTATTCGGGAAGTACGAACTATGCTGTACACGTGATAATGTGCCGCATTAACTGAAACATCTTCATTGGTCGGCTGATTTATTGAGCGTTACTACTATCTCGGTGAAGTGAAACGAGGAAGAAGCATTGCGGAATTGCTGGAACATCTTTTTCATCACGGATCGATTGAAATGGGAGTAGCTAATAATCGATGACCGTCATTAAATAGAGTAACATTGTCTAATATAAGGGGCGATCTTTTTGCAAAGCGCGCACCAATGTGTGTTGCGATAATCAAGCGATGACGAATTAGCTCTCAAGAATTTGTGAATGCATCTCAAATCATTTACACTTTTTATTTGTTTATTTCATTTCGTGTTGACCTCTAAACATTTTAAACATATTACAATTTACGAATATAATTTAGTTTTCGCCAAAATTACAATTTAAATATCAAATTGTAACAAAGTTTTACGCATAACGGATATAGTCGTCATGACACAAAATTCTGCCACATCTCCATGACGGATATAGTCGTCAAACACACTCAACTGGTTAAAGAAATCGTATATGTTAATCAACAAAATAATTTTAATCATTTTCTAATGCTTTTGGCAAACGTAAAAGCAATTGTTCAATTCCCTTCTTAAAAAAAGTTCTCCGATTTTTTATAGAATAACTTGGAAGTCATGGAAGAAATTTTGAATACTTTTCGGTACCCTTAATATTTAAGCTTCATAAATTATTAAGCTTTAATAATTTATGATAGTAAAAGTGTACCGCATATCGCACTGTAATATTGCATTGGATTAACACGAACGTGCACTCAAAACATGGATGTGTAGTCATGGAACATGTTCCATATTACGCATACTTGTGTAGCTTTCTTTTGGACAACACATGCAAAAACTGGAAGAGTTTTAAATACTCAAATCGCTGAATGTTCAAATTTTTGATAATAACTGTAGAATATTTTTGTGCCGAGTTCAATTTTTTAAGGGTTTTTAAAGTTATCAAAGCTTTTCTACACCTGAGTACGTATTTTTCTTCTTTTGCAGTATATCATTAAAATATATTATAAATATATTTTTTTAAATAATATTTCCCTGTTACATTTTTCCCTATCAAAAAGGTAAAATATTCAAAATGTCCAACTTAGGTGAAACACCCTACATGTAACGGCCTGTTGCGTATATTTATTTATCATTGAAAAAAGCGGTTACTTGAATTGTTCAATAAATGCTGACTTTCTAAAAAATTATCCATAGTCTTTATCACTATTGTAATACCAAAGGATATAATCGGATAAAGGAGTCAAAAATGCCTTTAGACCAAATTAAAAAATGAACATATCAGTTAACAGACCGTTGAAAGGAAATCCTTTTTGCTAAGTATGAAGTTAATCCTACTTAAAGGATAATTACAGGACGAAACACAATTCATAGTTTAAGCTTTATGACTTTTGTTGTGCCACACGGAAAATTTTGAAAAAAAAACTCAGGGATATTCTGCTGCATGGCGTACGTGTTTGTGAATTTTTCCAGAATTTTTAAAAGCAAAATAGATTTTTTAAAAATTATAAAAGTTTAAAAATATTTTTTTTAATAGAAATTACCAAGTGACCGCATTTATATTTTACAGTAGACGTGCTTTGTTATGATTATTAATCTTTATTCTTTTCAGATTTTGAAAGTGGTGGTACAGAGTCGAAAAAATCAAAAATCGATATTTAGTTGTATTATTATCTTAATTTTTCACGAAATTATGTTCATATTGTTATAGTTTTAACAGCTTGTGAAAATTATTTATATGCGATTTTTCAGGTTTTTCAGAAGCCTATTTAACTCCACATCTCTTAAGTTCAGACATGCTGTCGTTCTTACAATAAGTCCTCAATTTACTTGTATTTCTAAATTCCAGTGTCTGTAAATTCCAATGTTCCTAAATTTTTTGGGTCCTCAAACTCTTACATCTCCTAAATTCCTATGTACCTAAATTTC